GTTCTCAGGCATTTTATTCTTTTCAAAGAAAAATAAAAGATAAAGACAAAAACGTTGCCTTGAAAGTGAATAAGTTACTAAATAAATAAAGCAGGAAACGGACAAAATACATCATAAACTCGCCCAAATGAGCAAATTCCATGAGATTTTGTATTTTATACTGGATTCCATTTTGTGTCATATCCGTGACTTCCACATTGTAGAAATCATTGGGCCCTACATATCCCAGTCTTATTTATTTATTTTTTTATACACCTGGGAAATTTGTCCACATACCCCCTGTAATATGCTCACGTACTCCAAGGGGTACATGTACCCCTGGTTGGGAATCACTGTTTTATCAAAAAAAATACATAAGTGTGTTTATATGCATATAAATAATTTGTGTGTCTGTGTAATATCAGTAAATATCAGTTATTGGCCATAACAGCAATAATAATATCGGTATCGGCTGCAGTTTTCATATCGGTGCATCCCTAAATCTGCTTGTCAAAAATCCTTCTGAAGATGTGACTTTTGTCTGGATTTTATTCATCTGTTTAATGAGGTTTTTTTCAGTTTGATGTTTGTTCTGATTGGACCTGCTGTAATGTTCTGTTAATTACAGATTTTTGTCAGGTTATAGGCAGATAATTAAACATGACAAAGCACTAATAGTTTCACAGTGAAGCCTAAAACAGCTGTCAGCAGCCTGGAGTTTTACAGGATAAAATAAAATCACTAATTACATTAGCTTTTATTCCTCCAGCATCCTGTCTGAGTTATTTACTCTTATCACRAGACGACAGGTCTAATCTGTTAACATGGTTCAGATGTGTGCCAGTTTTACAGAAACCTCAGCAGAACTGGTTTCTGATGATAAAAACGCAAAGTTAGTGCCAGGTGTGAGTGCTCTCAGTCCAGTCCTCATCAGACAGGTCTGAACAGGGCCTGAGGGTCCAAAACAGCAGGAAGTTTGAAAGTTACAAAATGCTGAAAATCTGAAATCTTAAATGAGTTGTGGAGTTCAACTTCATCTGCATTTTATGTACAAACATCTCCCTGAAGCCTAGCTGTGAGAAACTGGTAATTWCATGGAACGTCTTTAGCTACTTTTACTGTTTCAGTCACGTTAACAGCTTGGATGCTGAACATATTTTCTCAAAWGTTTGTTAAATGGCCTCCTGCTTGGTGATGGTGGGCTGAGGGATGGAGGTGGGCTGCTTGGGCACCGTGGCTATGACCCCCTGAGGCATTTTATAATGTTCTGAGCCGGAGGCCGTGGGCGGAGATGGGATTGGAGTTTCAGGAGTGGCTGAAAAGTGAAGAACAGAGAAACAGTTAGGACTGCAGCTCCATGTGTTCTCTAAAAGCATTTCTACCCAACTAATGAGAGCTGCTGGGAAACTTCTCAAAATAAGAAACACAGAAAAAATAYCAGGAGTTCTCGACAAAATAAGCCAGATTAGTTTCCATGAAGAATTTAAAGGATTATTTTGCCGTGGCTGGCTGCGTGTGGCGCTGATGGAGGAACGTTTCATCATCTTTTTATTTAAGGACATTTCATGCTGTTAACTTTAACTGAACAGATTTTAATCTTCATTTTGTAAATGATAACTGTGATTGTTTCATGTGAAGCAGTCGTGTTGTGGTGCAGATTTGACACTCACAGATTTGGCCGTTATGGATGGGCGTCGGCAGGTTGCTGGCCACGATGACGTTACTGCTCAGGTGTTCTTGGACCAGGTGGGGGTGCAGAGAGTGGGGGGCATGTGGGGCTTCATTAGCTGAACCTGACAGACAAAACCCACTATTATTAAAAGATTACTGTTTTTGAGTTCATGTATCTGGTAATGAAATTCCCATGAATCACTGGATGCACATCTACAACTGATTAAAGGAGACCAATTATGGGTCCTATAAATTTTTATGGTATGTCTGTGGGCTATCCAGATTCATTCAATTTAAT